GGCCCTGAGCTAACACTTGTTGCCAATCTTTCTCTTTTTTTTTTTTTGCTTGAGGAAGACTATCCCTGAGCTAACATCTGTGGCAATCTTCTTCTGTTTGGTATGTGGGATGCTGCCACAGCGTGGCCTGATGAGTGGTACGTAGGTCCGTGTCTGGGATCCAAACTGCGAACCCTGGGCCACTGAAACAGAGCATGTGAACTTAACTACTACGCCACCATGCTGGCCCCTAAAAAGGCTTTTCTAATCACTGAGAATTACAGTGAGTTGAGAACTATAGCACAGGACACAGTAGAAACAGGAGAATGTGAAAGGTAGCTGAAGGATGTCAGGTTAGAGTCTAGTGAAGGAAGAGATAATGGTGGGAACAGTGTGTTGAGAAGCAGAAAAGAATGGGAATCAGGGTCAAGCTGAAGGGGCTAGTCTTTGAAAGCTAGAGGGAGTTTTCTTAGCAGAGGCTCCAAGGAAGAGACAGGAGCTGATGTAAAGGAAGGAATGTGAAAGACAGAGGACTCTGAGTAACAAAAGAATCGTACACAGGATTCTCAGTCTTCTCAGTGGAGTTTTCTCAAGTTTTCAGTTGAAGCAACGAGAGGATGGAAAAAGAACAGAAGACAAAAGATGATGTTTTTGCTATAACTATTGATGTATAGTTTAACCCAAGGGGGAACAGCTGTTTAGCTATGGCTAGTGAAAAATCTTGAAAGCGTTTGAAATATTTTTTCTCAGTGGTGGGCATGAGAGTGTCCATCTCCACACAGGTCTCCTTGGGTTAGCTGGTATTTATTCCATTTCACCTCAGGAAATCTGCTCAGCTCTCTTTATTGGCATTATGATCTCTTCAGCCCCTATTAAATCTCAAGTGAACATCCAGGGCCCCCCAAACAGAAAACATTCCTACAACTGCAACCATGAATGGACCAATTACCTTAGGAACAGTTGGCCAGACAATGTTTGTCCCAATTGTCTGGAATATGTAAAATTTAGTTGTTAAGGTTTGGCTCCAGGGAAAAGGACTGAGTCCTACGAGTCCTGTAGAGGAAGAGAGATTATTCTGGAAGGCTTAATGGAGCCAAATCCCAGCCCTTCCTTTACCTTTCCATTCTGAGTGGAGAGGGCAATGTGTGTTTTTTCCCCATGGGCTGCAATGAGTGAACTGGACATCACACTATTAGAAAAGGCAGTCTTCAGTATGGACTCTCCTCTCTAACCCTCTAAACGGGGTTGGGTTAGGTTTGGAGAGGAGAGGTGGGCTCACAGAAAGGAATTACTACCATGATGCCAAGACTGCTAGGTGTCAAACTGCTTCAGAATATGGATATGGAGAGAATATGATTCTATTTTAAGAAGTTGTGCCTGTGCCTGCCTCTTGTGTGGATTTACGTGGGTGGGGCACATCCCCCTTCCATACATCACAGCTACTTCTGTCCTGATGAGTCTTCCTCTAGGAAAAGCTAGGGAGCAATCTGTGAAGAAAATTAGGATATAGGGGAGGTTGTTTACAAAGGAACAGAGTTGCAGTGGGTCCAGATGGAAAGTTGGGTAGGGCTGACATTTTTGGCATTTTCTAACAGACACTTCTTCCTTCAACCTTCTAAAGTAGAGGCTGTTCATTCTCGCACTCCTGTAGGAAAGGGTGGCAGGCTATCATCCTTCTCTTTGCTATCCACTGGTACTTTCAGACTATGGTGCTTCCATCCTCTTGCAAAAACTCTTTCCTCTTTAAAGCTTCTGCTATTTGGTTCAACTACCCTTTAGCCCTCAAGTTTACTGAGGACTTTAGCACCTATTAAGTAACCTCTCTATGCAAACTCTTCCTATCTTTCAGGGTGGTTTTAGGAAAATCCATGCGATCCTTAGTTCTTGACCTTCTCAACTCCAGTTTATACTCCTACTTTCAAATCCTTAACTTCCATCATTTTGGCAACACAGGTTTTTCTTCATGGCAGCTTCAGGGCCATAGAATGGAATGGGAGAGGTAGCATTCTTGAGTGTGGAAACACTGGTGGTGCCAGAGCTGGCTGGTGCTGACTTCAAAACCCATTGAAAGACTAGGACTGCCAGTCATGATGCATAAGGGTAGAATAGCATGGGGGTCAGATTCCACATGATACTTGGGGGAAAGTTCAAAATCTCAATCTGACCTTTGTGCCAAGCTTCCAGGAAACCTGGGTCTGGAGCTAAAAGCACCTTTCCTGTTAGCCGTCTTTCTGGAGACATCTGACACTTTTAACAACTTCCACTCTCTTGAACCGCTCTCTTCCCTCTGATTCTGTGCCAATTACCACCCAGTTTTTGTTCTTCCTTATTGGCTGTTCCTTTTCAAAGATTCTCCAAGGGCTCTTCTTCTACTTGTGCCTTAAATGTTGGAATTCCCCACAGCACTCTTCTTAGCCCTCTGCTGTTCTCTGGGGAGCTTCTAGAAATCTATGGCTTCAACTACCACTGAGACGTTCATGATTCAGAATTTCTGGCTATAGTCTAAGGCAGTATCACTCTGAATGCACCCAAACTCATCAGAATTTCTGGCTATATACGCTGAAGTTTTTAAAAAGTACTTTTCTATAAAAGTAATCTATGTACACAGTAAAACAAATACCAACAGTAAAGATAGAGCTAAAACAAAAACGTATAAGTTTCATCCCTCCCAGGCCCACTCTTCATGGTTAATTTTTTAATGCCTGTGTAAATGTGCCATATGCATTCTTCTACACTAGCTTTTTTCCCATTTAATATATTTTTCTCCTACCTTTTAGATCTGTATAGTCAACTGCCATTAGGACATCTCCATCTGGCTGCCCCACAGGCACCTAAAACTCTTTCCCTTTCTTTGGAATTCTCCCTCATGCTACACCCTACTGCTAACCTCAACACCATTTAAAAATTCTTTTTTTTTTTTTTGAGGAAGATTAGCACTGAGCTAACATCTGCTGACAGTTTTTTTTTTTTGCTGAGGAAGACTAGCCCCGAGCTGACATCCATGCCCATCTTCCCCTACTTTATATGTGGGATGCCTACCACAGCATGGCTTGCCAAGCGGTGCCATGTCCACACCCGGGATCCGAACCGGCGAACCCCGGGCCACTGAAGAGGAGCCTGAAACTTGATCTTGGCATCAGGGGTCCGGCCCCTAAAAAATTATCTTTATACACTGTGCCTTTCCAGTCACTCAATCTACCTCAGTCTGGTTTCCAGCCCACCATATATCTCTGAAACAGCTTTCTCCAAAATTACTAAATGACTTCCTTGTTGCAAAATCCATGGACACATTTTAGTCCACCTCTTACCTGATTTGTAACGTTTAACACTGTAACCAGTTTCCTTGATATTTCTCTCCTGGTTGCCTTCTTTCCTTTCTGTTTGCCCCTGCTCAATGTCCTCTTTTCAGCTTCTTTTCCTCATCTCATCTCTCAAACGCAGATATTCCTCTCACTAGGCCATCTTATCCACTTCCACAGCTTCAACAACTATCTATATTCACAGGCGCTTGAGAGCACACACCCCAAACGTTTCTTTTGCATTCCCAACCCACATTATCCAATATCCAGTTGTCTAATGGATATCCCACAGGCACCTAAAACTCATTCTCTCCCCCAAACAAAAAAGAAAATGGCATCATTATTCCTCAGTTGCCCAAGTCAGAACACTGGGAAATATCATGGATTCCTCCCTCTGCCTTATGCGCATTTCCCATCTATCTTTTCCCATCTGCACTTCCCTTTCTATAGGAGAGACCACTGTGTCTCTCGCCTGGAAAAGATCTTACCAATTGTTCTCCACGCCTCTAACTGCGTCCTTTCTAATCCATTCTCCCCAATGCAACCCGTGATCTTTCTAAAATGCAAATATAATTAGTCACACCTCTGCTAAATCTCTTCAGTCTATTCGTTGCCCTTAGGATGAAATCAACTAAATTTGTAAGGCCTTGCGTAAACTGGCCCCTGTCAATCTCACAGGCCTCATCTATTACCTCTCTTAAAATCACATCAGGATACTAGCAGCTCCAGAAAGTACCCGGCCCCGACCCCCAATTCCCAAGAGTCCAGGATTCAGCTCAGGCAACACTTCCTTCAGAAAGCGGGTGCTCAAAAGACAAATGCTCAAAGCATGAAATCCGAGAGGGCATCTCAGCAGCGCTTTCTGCTCCGGAGCCAGGTTTACGGAACGTCCGGGTTACCAGGAAGCTCAGAGCAAAGGTCAAATCCAGATCACGAACCTTCCCCCAAGGATGCGGGGCAATTTCACCCCCCATAATATTCCGCCCGTACGCGTCATGGCTGTCAGTCCCAGTCTTTCGGTGGGTCTTGAAGTCGACACCAGCCAGCTCTGGAGCCACCACTGTTTCCAAACTCAAGAATGCAACCCTCTCTCCTTACTTACTCCGGCCCTGAAGCCACCGTCAAGTAATACTTGCGCTGCCAGCTTGCCCCAAAGCAAGATGGCTGCCATTCTCTAGCCTCTCCTCCCGACGTGAAGCTGTCCACTCCCCGTTTAATGCCGCTGCCAGGCTGCCCTCACCTAGCATGGCTCCTCCGGCTCATGCCTCACTATGGTCTCGAAGCCGCCACGAACCGGCCAGGTTCCGGGAGGCGCTGTTCAGGATGCAGCCACCCCCGCCCGCCTCTCCCCTCCCCCACGCCCGTGGCGGCGGCGGCGGCGGCTGGAGCCCGGATGCGGCGCCGGGAGACAGGCCCGGGAGCGCGGCGCGGATGGATCCAACATGGCGGCGCCAAGCCTGAGCCGAGAGTGAGGCGGCGGGGCGGCCGGAGTGGGGAGGGGGAGTCGAGCGGGACGGGGCGGGGCCGGGCGGGGCCGCAAAGGGCTTGGGGAAGGAAAGTGGAGGGGGAGGCGGTGGCGACGTCCAGCCTGAAAACCTCAGGAGAGGGAGGTGACGGGACGCTGCGAGGTGGGGGAGGGGAGCGGCCGAGGGGGGCGTGCGGGGGAGGTGGCAACTGTGGCAGAGGGCAGGGGTCGAGGCGGGGGAGGGGACGTGGGGAGGGGCGTAAACAAGGGCCAAGGCTGGGCCGGGCTGGGGGTATTAGAGAGGCCGAGTTGGGGAGTGGGGCTGCCATCCCGCCGGGTTGAGGGGGCTTAGGAGCGGGAGGGAGAGGCTGAGCGTGAGAAGGGGAAGGGGCTGGTGGCTTGTCGTTGGGAGGAGGACTGGACTCTGAGGGGTGTTGGGAAGAGGTGAGAATTGGACTTAAGACGTTTGGGGGGAGGTTTTGAAAGTGTTAAATTTGAGGTGGGAGGGGGAAGGGCCTAGGGGAGATATTTGGGTGAAAAAGGAGAGAACGGAGGTTTGGGGAATGGAGAGCCTGTCGGTGTGACGAGGTAATGGAGAAAGTGAGAGACTAGGAGGAAAGTTTGGGAGGAAGGGGAATGGGATGGGAGATAGGACAGTGGAGCTGCACGGGTGATAGAGGTTCGGGGGTTTCCTTTTCCCCTGTGGAAAGGAAGAGAGAGCAGAGTTAAGCAGCATCAGTTGCAGCCAATTCCAATTGCCAGGCCTTTAGCTTTTAATAGGGTGGGAAGGGCAGAAGGGAATGGTCATGTGGGTTTGGAGAATTGGGGTTGGATGAGAGTTCAACTGGATTTGCCTTCCAAAAGCTCTCTAGCTTACTGCTCTCTTGTTTTTCCTGGTTACGAGAGGAAGGGAAAATGGGGAAGCTGGTGTCGCTGCCAGTGTGTGGAAGGACTTTTGTAGTTTTTAGCAATTAGCAATGCAAGAGTGAGGAAACAGCCATGCTATGTTGAAGCCCTATATACTAAGGTTGAGACTCTGGAAGCCTGAGAAAAGGAAAACAGGATGGCATCTAGGCAGCCAGGCTAATTAAATGAGTACTTTAGTTTCCAGACCGTTCTTTTGCTGCTTAAGTGCTGGGAGGGAGGGATCAGTATTCTTACACAGAAAACATTCCCTGGTGAAATGTAGATATATGAGTGGATGCTGCCCTCGTGGATATTTTGTTCTGACTGTGTGCTAGGTAAGGGAAAGGGCGAAGGTGGAATTTGGAGGATGGTTCTGGTCTGAAAAGGAAAACAGTGGAAAGTGTCTCCTTTGGCTGTAACCACTTTCCTCCCACTTCTTCCTAAAGATGAAAGTCAAGGTTAATATTGTAGCAAAATAGGTGAGTCTCATGAGAAATTGAGGAGTCAGGTGAGAAGTTGTCAGAGGATACTTGGTTTCCCACAAGTTGTTGAATTGGGGGCCTTTCGTGGTACCAGCCATTGAGGCTGGAAATTCTCAGAGTTGGTATTGTCTTGTGAATTGCCGAGTAGAGAGTTAGGGAAGCTTGGGCTTTGTTGGGGCGAGTTACCTCATTTAACCTGGAGTGGATTATTTCAATCGAAATGGCTTTAGGCTTGTTTGTATTTTTGCAACTGAGATTGACTAACTCTTTGGGCCTGTGAGGTTTCAAAATAAAGCTTGAAAATTGACTCTCTTTTCCCCCTTGTTTGTTTTTGTTTTGCTGCTGGCTCTGAACCTTGTGCTAGGAAGAGACCTGGGAAATTAACTTTCTTGCAGAGGTAAGTCTGGAACTTTTTATTGTTTTCAAACAATGGCAGGGAATGGAAATGGCATGAGAAATTTATGGTGGGTCAGCTCAGTAATGGGGTAGATGCCAGGGAAAATGAGTTTCACCCACCCAACTGAGTACGTAAGATCTGTTGCTTGCAGTCACTGTCTCTTTGGGTAACTAGAGATTGGTGGGAGGGAAAGGAGAGCAAAAATTAGGTGTTTTGGGACAGGCCCCCAGCTTTGTTTTGTTATTATCTAGTCGTCTTGGTTAGCTCTGAGAGAAACATTTTTTTAAACATGTGCAACATTGTACTCTAGTACAGTGTCTACTAAATATTGCCCTTGGAGGGTTGCTGAGGCACCTTCCACTGGAGGGCTTTTCCTCTAGCTTATTCTTGCTTTTAGTTGTTCAGGGTTCCTGGAATCTTCCTTTTGAAAATACTATGTAATTCTGACTTTTCAGGTATTTAGTTACATTTTCCTCTCCCACCAGCGAGAAAGCTCTTTATGTGCTCTTAGCCATATTTAAGTTTTCCACGTCGTTTCCAATTCAAGTTTCAAGACATCACTCTTTTTAGTTCTTCCACTGACTTTCCTCTCTAAGAGCTTCTGAGAGAGTCAGATACTTCTGGTTCTGTGAAAATACAAATATCATCCCTGTTGGGAGGAAACTAGACTATCCTTTTCATTTCAAGTTATCACTCTTTATTATTTCTTCCACAGGACTTTCAGGGCTTCCAAAAGAGTCAAATACCTCAAAAAATACAGATATCATCCCTGATTGGGGTCAGACTAGACTTTGCTTGGAAATAGAAACCTAATAGAGAACGACCAATCAAGAGGAAATCCTGTAGATACATATGGACTGTCCATTGGCCCTTGACTTGTCTTGGAGCTCCCTAAAGAAAACAAACGAACTACAACTCTAGGAGATGCTGCAATTCATCAGAATAAAGAATTATTCTTGGGAAACGTAGGGGGAAACCCATATTTTAGGATCTCAAATGGACTTAAACCAGCTAGTGGGATCAGGACTCTTGTTTACTGGAGTGTTTGTCTCTTGGTATCTGGCAATATTTCAGACACCAAGACTCAAGAGTTCTTTCTAATCTTCTGTATAGAGGGGGTCCATTCTTCTCACTACTCTGATACCTTTCATCTAGGATCACTGTATAATTTAAGCTGAGTTCCCTTGCTTCACTGCTGCAGAAAGCTGAGTATATTTTAGTTTCAGAGGAAGTTGGCCATGTTCTTTTAATGCTGAAGTTCAATAGATTCTTGGAACCCCCATCTGGGTTGCTGAGTGAGTAAACTCACCATCCTACATGAGAATTATGTGGAGAGGGCTGCTTATTAGCCTATATGCCAGCCTCCTCACATTTCTCCCAAGGACATGGACTTGGGAAACTTAAACCTCTTCAGTGAATAAGTAGTATAAGTCTGATTAGCAGCCTAACCAGGGAGGGTCTGCTAGCAGTCTAGTTTCAAGACTTTAGAGATGGCTGCTGAGGGTTAAGTCCAGGATCCTTTTTGTCTGTCTTGCAGAGAATGGTATTTCTCTTATCTTCACAGAGATCCAGATTGAAGTAGGTCAAATTAGACCTCCTGGGATGGGGTAGAAGGGAGTGTAGCCCTACCACCTGCTGTTCACCTGAATGGCAACAGCAGGTGATAGAAAAGCCAAGGTTGGAGTGGGATGGAACTCCTTAGTGCTGGTTGGACTTAGAGGTTAAATGAGCCTATGTCTGACTAGCTTTTCTTTTCTTCTGGAATATTGTTTGATAGTTTGGGTTGGAGGGAACAAATGGCTTCCTACTCCAGATATAGGGTAGAAAGTGACAATGTTGTCTCTATTCCTTTTGACCTTTCATCATGCTCCATGTAGAATAGAGTTTCTCATCCTTAGCATTATTGACATTTTGGGCTGGATAATTTTTTGTTGTGGGGGACTGTCTGTGTGTGATAGGATGTGTAGAGCAGCATCCATGGCTTCTACTCACTGTATGCCAGTAGCACTCCCCCTTACCCCCCTAGTCATGACAACCTAAAATGTCTCCAGACATTGTAAATGTCCCCTGGGGGACAAAGTTGCCCCTCGTTGAGAACCACTGACCTAGAAGCTCTGATAATTCCTGGCACCTTGAATGATCCAGCCTGGGAATCTAGGACTTAAAAGTGGCCTTTTTTTTCTCCTTCAAATGTAGGGAGTTAACCCTGAGAGGATTGAGGCCTATTGTAGAATTGCATCCGTTGATGAATAATTAGGACCATAGTGCTTTCCTGTGCTCTGCCTCATTTTCCAGTGGCCAGGTCTGTGAGGACAATATTTCTTCATTTCCTGGGCTTTATAGTCAGTACACTTTGAATTGAGGAGCTCTGGAGCAACCTGCTCTTCTGATTGGTTTAATTTGAAATCTGCCCATCTGCTTTTTCTGGGATCCTCATAATCAACAGCTGGCCAAAGGGAACAGGTGGGACAGGAAACAAGGAGAAGTTGTAGGGGTTTTAAGGAGGCTCAGTTTTCTCGTGTTGCTGGCTATGAGCAAGAAGGTATTTTCCTTCAGTCCCCTCTATTTGTACCCAGGGACTGTAGCAGGTGAAACAAGAAAGGACGAGACAAGGAAAACTAGTCAATAGTTGAATAGCTATTTTCCCAGCTGTTTTCCATGCTTTGGGTGGGGCATTTGGGCTCTCTAACTAGATATGGGCTATATTTCCTGTCCACATATCAGAACCCATGGTATGGGGCTAAGTGATTCCAGGGTGGACCTCCCCTTAAGGCTACAAATCTCTCAGTGCTTCTATTTTAGGATTACTGAGGAAGAGAGGACCGGGTCCTACTTGCTCTTCAGTTTTCTGAGACCCCATCAGCTTTGTTCTTCTGAAGTAGCTTATCATTTTATTCCCTTTCTTAAGCTAGCCTCAGTTTCTTGGTGTATAAAATGGACAGAACAACCTGTCTCATTGTTGAGTAGGGTGCTGTGGTACGGCACAGTGTAGGGGAGGCTATAGCTTGCTAGAATACAGTCATACGTCACTTAACAATAGGGATATGTTCTGAGAAATGGGTCATTAGGCGATTTTGTCATTGTGTGAACATCATAGGGTATACTTACATGAACCTAATGGTATAGCCTACTACCCACCAAGGCTATCTGGTACTAATCTTATGGGACCACCATTGCACGTGTGGTACATCATTGACCAAAATGTCATTATGTGGTGCATGACTGTATATGCATGGTAACTGAGTTGCAGGTATCTATTTTTAATGGGGTCCTCTCATTCTTGCACATATGTGAGTTAATTAAAGTATTGCTTGGACATTAAGTTCAGTTCGACAATATGTTGCTCCTACTATGTGCCAGCCTCTATCCATTGCTAGGCACTAGAGATATAAAGATGAATATGACTTAGTCCTTCTACATGAGTTGCTTAAGATCTAATGGGATAATAAATACAGAAATGATTTTAGTACACTTTGATAAATGATTTAAAGGGAAATATGCACAGTGTTCCATAGGCGCACAGAAGAGGACTACTTATCCCAGCATGGGGGTGTAGAGAATGAATTTGAAGATGGCATCTGAGCTGACTCTTAAAGGATGAGTAGGAGTTAGCCATCTGAAAAAGGGTGGTGATGGGGGTGTGCAACAGAGAAGGGAGAGGGGCATTCAGGCAAAGGAAGTAGCCTGAAGAAAGGTATAGAGAAATGAATTGCATGATGTATGTGAATGATAAACAAACTCATAAGGTTAGAGAATAAAAAGTGGGTTATGAGGTTGAAAGGTAGGCGGGAACCCAATCTTGGGATATTTGGTGTGTTGTGTAAGGAGTTTGGAGTGTTCCTATAGGTCTTAAGCAGAAAAGTGATGTGATCAGTTGTGCATTTTAGATAGCTAATTCAGCTGAATGTGGGGGATGGCTTTAGGTGGGCTAAGATTGGTGGTAAGGAGAGCCCTTAAAGAGGCTGTTGTAATAGACCAGGTGAGAGATTATTGGGATCTGAACCGTGGCAGTGGAGATGGAAAGGTGAGGCAGTTTAAGGGATATTTAGAAGTAGCATCAACAGGAATTTATAATTGATTGGGTGATTGGAGATTGTGGTCAGAGGGTAGAGCAGTATTGGGTGGTACTCTCTGGCAGGGCAGTAAGTATTAGTGACTATTTGTTAGTGCTGTCGAGTTGATTGAAACTCCTAGCGATCCTGTGTACAGCAGAGCAGAACTCTGCCTAGTCTTTTTGTGCTGCCCTCTCACCTTCTGGCGCTATGTCAGACAAATCTCCACTGCTATTCATAGGGCTTTCATGGCCAGTTGTTTTGGAAGTGGGTGGCCAGGTCCTTCCTCCTAGGCTGTCTTAGTCTGGAAGCTTCGCTGAAACCTGTCCACCATGGGTGATCCTGCTGGTATTTGAAATACCAGTGGCATAGCTTTCAGCATCAGAGCAACACGCAGCCGCCACAGTATGACAGCTGACAGACGGGAGGTTTGGTTCCCTAACTGGGAAATGAACCAGGGCCACAGCAGTGAGAGTGCTAAATCTTAACCACTAAACCACCAGGGCTGGCTAGTATAAGTGACTAGAGTGGAGGTGAAAGTTGTTGGACTTCAGGATTGGATAGTGGCTGGGTCATTGATACTACCCAGGATGATGGAGGAACTTTGTGAATCAAGTGCCAAGTTATATAATGAATGTAGGGCTATGATTGGTCATGGACAGAATATTGGTAAATGACAACCATGAGGAAAGATTAGAAGGTGGTATATCCAAATGGTGTATGAACATCAAGGGTGTACAAGTCACATAGGAGGATTACAAGCATGCTCAATTCAGGAGCTTAATAATAACTGATTTAAATCTATGAGTTTCGGTGAATATTATTAACCTTCTGAGTAGTTACGCTTCTGGACTTGGTTGGATTATAGGAAAAATGAGGATAGGCTTGTGGAGGGATGGGTCTGGCTTGCAGAGGTCAAGGATGCTTCTCTCTTTGAAATATCTTTCACCACCATTTATATAAGGTTTACAAAGTAATTTCACATGTATTTTCTCATTGGATTTTTAAGTCTGAGTAGTAGTTTGTTTCATTCCTGATGAGGGCAGTGAAACTTTGAAGTTAAGTGACTTATGGTCACACAGCTACACAGCTTGTTAATGATACAGACAAAATTGAAACTAGTTCTAATCCTAAAGATTTTCACTTTCCCTACTATCAGTCTCTGAGTTCACTTTCTGCAGCTTTCATATTAGAAGAGTGAATTCTCTACTATTGAAGTTTGCCTACATTTAAGAGGTGAACTGGTTGGGGAAAGCACAGTTCTCAAAAGCAGTGTTTTAGGGGCAGGAGGAACAACTGAGGTAATATCTAACAGCACTTTCTGCTGAGTATATAGCACTAAAATTGCATTATAACATCCTCACTTAGGGAAAGTGACTATATTTCTCCAGTAGGGTCTGGACTTAGAGCAGCATCTGCTGGGTATGGAGAGCTCTAGGCTTTTTTAAATGAACACTTTTTAAAATTTAATAAATACTTATTAAGCACTACACTGCCTGGGCATTGTGTTGGGCACTGGGAATACAGGAATGAACAAGACCACTTCTTGCCATTTAGTGGCTCAAAGGTTCTTGCCTTGTCCTTACAGTATAGTGAGGATTGCAGCTGCTGAGCAGGGATTCTGGAAAGCAGTGTGTACCTGAGCCCCCAGCATGGCGGGCCTAAAGCGGCGGGCAAGCCAGGTGTGGCCAGAAGAGCATGGTGAGCAGGAGCATGGGCTATATAGCCTGCACCGCATGTTTGACATCGTGGGCACCCACCTGACACACAGAGATGTGCGCGTTCTTTCCTTCCTCTTTGTTGATGTCATTGATGACCACGAGCGTGGCCTCATCCGAAATGGACGTGACTTCTTACTGGCACTGGAGCGCCAGGGCCGCTGTGATGAGAGTAACTTCCGCCAGGTGCTGCAGCTGCTGCGCATCATTACTCGCCATGACCTGCTGCCCTACGTCACCCTCAAGAGGAGACGGGCTGGTGAGGGTGCATTGGGGGCTGGGGACACAGGAATCAGGGAAGAGTTGTGGGAAGCCAGGAGTGAGCAGCATAGGAGTCCAAGCGGGAAGAGACCTTGATTCTGGGGAGTACCTAGGAGAATAAGTTATGAGGCCCCTTGGATGGTTGGACTAGAAGAAGGGAGGGGTATATCTTTTCTTGAATGACGCCCTTTTCCCCTACAGTGTGCCCTGATCTTGTAGACAAGTATCTGGAGGAGACATCAATTCGCTATGTGACCCCCAGAGCCCTCAGTGATCCAGAACCGAGGCCTCCCCAACCCCCTAAAACAGGTGAGAAGACATTAACTCCTCCTAATTTCCATAATCAAGAAAGAGGACACTGAACCCATCATATTCCCAGCTTTGCCAGCTTAAATGAAAGGACACCGTCCCACCATATCTAACCTCATAAAAATTAGGTGAGGTGTTAATGCTTCACCTAGATCCTGTAATTGTTCCCACGTTGTGTCTTCCTTTAGGTCACATTATTGCTGTTGCTTTTAATGCTAAGTCTAAATGATTCCTCCTCATTCCAAGAGCAGTGTTTGAATTTCTGCATTTACCCTACTACATCTTCTCCCCTTGTACCCTCTGGTCAGTGCCTCCCCACTATCCTGTGGTGTGCTGCCCCACTTCGGGCCCTCAGATGTGTAGCAAGCGGCCAGCTCGAGGGAGAGCCACACTTGGGAGCCAGCGAAAACGCCGGAAGTCAGTGACACCAGATCCCAAGGAAAAGCAGACATGTGGTGAGGAAGTTCAGAGGTACCAGAGGTGGAGTAGACTTGAGGGGAAATAGAAAGAACTGCTAGGATACTGGGCAGTTTATGCTATTTAGTGCAAGGTTCACTTTGATTGCTATTTGCAAAGTGAGGTTGAATGGTTTAGTCTCTGGGGCTAGAATTCCTCTATCTTTGTGGCAGAGTACATTTCAACTCTTTGTTAGTTAATACTAGATCAGAAGAATGCTGTTATGACATCCTTATGGGAGGATGAACCAAGTCATGATAAAGTATAAAAATGAACTTCTGTGCCTGCTAATTGAGAAAATAACTGCTAGAAGCAAGGTGCTGTTTGTGAGTGATGGGAATAATCTGACTTGGGCGTGGCCCAGTTAAGGGAACCTGCTGCATTCAGGCAAGGATTTCAGAGGTACATAGAAAAGAACTAGTCCTGGGGAAGAGGTAGAAAAGGGGTCAGGTGATGTTCCTGACTTTGCTACTCTGCTGTTCAACCTTGGATTGTAAACTCACCCCTCACTGCAACCTCCCTACATATCTTCTGTTCCCCACAGACATCAGACTGCGGGTTCGGGCTGAATACTGCCAGCACGAGACTGCTCTGCAGGGCAATGTCTTCTCTAACAAGCAGGACCCCCTTGAGCGCCAGTTTGAGCGCTTTAACCAGGCCAACACCATCCTCAAGTCCCGGGACCTGGGCTCCATCATCTGTGACATCAAGTTCTCTGAGCTCACCTACCTCGACGCATTCTGGCGCGACTACATCAATGGCTCATTACTAGAGGCACTTAAAGGTGTCTTCATCACAGACTCCCTCAAGCAGGCTGTGGGCCATGAAGCCATCAAGCTGCTGGTGAATGTGGACGAGGAGGACTATGAGCTGGGCCGACAGAAACTCCTGAGGAACTTGATGCTGCAAGCATTGCCCTGACCTTTTCCCCTTCTCACTTCTCTGGGGACTGTTCCCACCATCCACCTCTGGAGCTTACATACTGTTCTGGGGTTTGTTCTCTACCCTTCCAACCAATCACACCCTGCCTTTTTTTTTTTTTAAAAAGGAAAAGACAAAGGAAAATGGAAGTGGTGTTCCCCACCCCTCCCTGCACCCATGTGCCTGGGCTTCCCCTTTGTTCCCCCTTTCCACTTACCCCCCTAATGTGTGTCTCTACAGCCACCTTGCCACTGAGCCGTAAGACAAATGTATAGGGAGAAGCAAAGTCTATAGAACATAGTCTTTGTAAGGGATTGAAGTGAACACTGCTTTTGGGTGCACTGAGGGGTTATCAGTACTTCTGGCTTTATGAGGGCTCTTAAATTTTGTCTGAAAAACCAAAGGGCTGTGAGTAAGGGAGCTGTGTGGAAGGTGGGACTCTGAAATGTATTTTGGAATTTAATCACCACCCTCTCCCAAATTATAGAATTTTTAAAAAACAAAGAAGCTGTGGCCCTTTCCACTCTCTCCTGGCCTCTGGTGCTGCTCCTCTCTGCCTTGTTTCCTCCATTCCATGGCTTGAAACCTCTGCCTGGTGTAGCTCCTTCTCTTCCTTTGTCAAACCCTCTTCAAAGGAGTAATAGGTAAGAGGACTAGGTCGGCCTAGTCCTCTCTCCCAACCGTAGTGTGTGTGTGTACACACATACACAGGGTGGATGGAGAAGTTGTTGCTAATTAAAATACACTCCCCCTAAAAAGGGGAAGGGGGAGTGTGACACTTTCCTTCCATGTTCAAGTGAAAATAAATAATGTACCCTGCAGCCCTTTCCCCTTTGCTTTCTTATGATTTGGGCAAAGGGCATCATAGGTGAAAGTGAAATAATTCAATATCAACTCCTTTCTTCTTTTTCCTTCCCCATCCTCTACCCCTACTCCCACTCCCAAGCTTGGGAGCATGGGGCTGGGATATGCACTGAGTGTTGCACTTTTATTTAGGTAGGGAGGCAAGTTGAATAAGCCAGGAACACTAGAACTGGAGCCTCGTCCAGATAGTACAATACCACCTCCCTTTCAGCTCCCAAAGGAGATGACCAGACACAGACTTTATGATTATTATATTTTTTCAATGCCAGTGCTGCTCAGCCCTCAGCATAACTTCAGTTTTCATGAAATAAACAGTAACTACATAAAATTCCACCTTTCTGAAACTGAAATCTGAGCTCAGGTGAAAGTTTCTTCTTTCCCAAGAAGCTGAGCCTGTGTTCCATCAAGAGAGTCGAGGTTCCCCAAGTGAGGGGAGCTGCGCCTGGGTCCTGCCAACAAGTCACAGCAACGCCAGCTCACAATGGGGGTCTCACCTCACAGAAGTCAAAAGTCTTAAGACAGTGGGTGACCCAGATTGCCATAGAGATCAGGCCTGCGGTGCTGGAATACAGGCAGGTGTTGGCGCAACTGTCGCAGATAATTGAGGTCAATTCGGGCAAGGCAGAGGCCTGGTCCCTCAGAGCAGCGGGCCACCACTGTTCCCCAGGGATCCACCACCATGCTGTGGCCATAACTTGCTCTCTTCTCATGGTGGCATCCATACTGTGCTGCTGCCACTACATAGCACTGGGTTTCAATGGCTCGTGCCCGCAGCAATACCTGGGGATGAGATATGTGTTCACTTAAGTATGTGTAGGTGGTCGTGGGGAAGTGATAGGCAATGGACTTTACAGGCCAATCTACCCATTGGGACCATTCTGATAAGTGCTTAGGAATGATTTATTGAGCTATTCTTTAACATATGAGTTAGGCAACAATCTGGAGAATGAGTTCTCTCACTAGGTGAGAAGGGGAAGAAAATCAACTGGTAGGGCCAAGGGAGGAGAATGCGGTTAAGAAAAGGCCTTTATGTTTTGAAGAGGTGTCCTCTTACCTCCCAGTGGGCTGGGCCTGTTATAGATCCAAAAGCTGAAGGGTAGGTAAGTATTTCTGCTCCAGCCTGAGCCAATGCCAGAGAGAGTTCGGGGAACCGCATGTCATAGCAGATAGCGAGACCAACCTGGAAAGAAAATCAGCCTACTTAGCCCCCTAATCCTGTGTGTCACAGCATCTAGTTATACCCCCGCTACCTATTCCTTAGGGCTTTCTATCATCTACTACCACGTCAAAGTATTTCTAAATCCCCTCCCTCTTGTTCTTCTCCCACTTTCATCCTTTCACAACTCCCACCTTGCCTGCTGGTGTGCTGACAGGTGACTCGAGACTGGGCCCAGGCAGGGTAGAATTGCTTTCACGCATAGGCTCCTGCCCTGGAATCTCGACGTCACACAGGTGTGTCTTCCTGTAAGTGGCCACTACTGATCCTAAAATAACAGGGAGAAGGACTACTCAGTGCTGGTGTTCTAGAAGCCCAGCTTAGTTCCTCTCCTCCCAAGGAGGAAATAGTTTATAGGCTACGACAGAAGTACAAACACCCCTAAAACCCTTGGCCAAGGAAACAGAAACAAAATAGAATTCTGGAGAATCTTAGTTTAGGCAGAAAAGCCTGGGAAGAGGCAGGCTAAAGAGTTATGAAGTCTCACCCTTGCTGTTCAGAAGCACATGACAATTGTAGATTTTCTGAGTCTGCTCCCAGTCTTGGCCACGCTCATGGAAACCACCCAAGGACAGCCAGAGTCCACATTCCCTGGGGGGAGGGGACACTGACAACTCTTCTCAAGGCTCCACCCTCATATCTGGCAATCCAGGGACACTGCCCAACAAAGAAACTACTTCTCCCTCCCACTTTCCCTGATACCTGGCAAGCTGGGTATATTCTCCCAAAAGGTTCCCATCCAGTGGCTCAGACAGGCGTAGCGTCTCTGCAGGGTCTCGTGCAATGAAGTCAAATGCCTCAGGCAGAAAAGCCAGGCAAGCGCCCAGTCTGGCAGCCTCTCGAACCAGCTCAGCACATGTTTTAAAGTTCTGCTGTTTGTCTGGTGTTGATGTTACCTGGCACACAGCCACAAGGGGCAGTTCCCAGGAGGAAGAGGAGACAGCCATGGTTCTGGGTCTGTGAATGGCATAAGCAGGACTCAGATTTCCGAGCATGTGGAAATCCAAGTTTGATGATGAGGGGCTCAAATGGGGAGGCAGGAAGGCTGGACTTCCCTTTGATTCTGCTCTTACAAGGCAGAATGACCCACCAATCAAATGTTCTGTGGATGTTTGGTACCCCAGTGTTTCCCACCATTCATTCATTTAAAAAACATTTACTGAGCATCCACTATGCGCCAGGCATTGAGGACACAACAAAACACGTTACCTGGGCTGAGCACTAAGTACTGAAAGAGGAGGTATCCGGAGGCCAGGACACAAAAGAAGGGACAGGAACTGGTGAGGAGGCCTGATGATGAAGCCCAGCCTGAGGAAGATGAGAAATCAGGAAACCAACCCCTCCTTCAAGTAAAAAATCTCTCCGATTTTCTGACTTCTCTTTTCATACTGTGAGGCTAAATCAGGGCCCTGCCAGTAAAAACCCCAAGTCTTCAAAACACTCTTTACTATAAATAATTGTGGGCTACAGGGAGAGATCATAAAGTGGGAAGATGGAGGAAGGGGGTCTGCTGGGCACCTGAATACCGCGACTTCTAGTGATCTTACATTAGCCTGAAGCCCCGTTCCTCTGCCAAACGTTTCTGCAGTTCAAAAGTCATCTCCGAGAAACTTCCTTGGTTTTCCCAGCCTCTCTTCTTGACCCTGCACTTGCACAGCTTTACTGACTCAAAGCATATTTCCCTCCTTAGACCACAATCTCTGAGGGGAAGTTCACCCTCGTTCCCCACCACCCCATGGTGGGCAGGGGACACTGGCACCCGAATCCCAAGCCGCTCCCCCACTCTCTAGTTAACCCGTCCTTCCCCGCCTCTCAGGGGTAGCGTCTCTGTTGCATAAGTTAAAGCACCACAGGCGGAATTCACCGCGGCCAGCGGGATAGGGAGTAGGTCCTACATGAAGGAACAGCCAAAACCATCCGCAGGATCCGAACCGAAAAGGGGCCTGGAAGCAGCGGCCCGGGGGCGAGTGGGCGGTAACTCCGAGACCGGACGTGACGCAAGGCGGGGGCTGAGCTGCGCAGGCCGGAAGCCCAGCAGGCGGCGAAGATGGCGGAGAGCAGCGGTCGCGCCGGCAAGAGCAGCGGGAGCGGCGCGGGGAAGGGGGCGGTGTCTGCAGAGCAGGTGAGGCGCGGAGAACGCGAAGGAGGCCAACCCGGCTGGGTCCGGAGTCGATGCAAGAAGAGCGGGGAGTCCGGGGCTGGTGCAGGCCTTGACTCCAGTCCCACATTTGCGTGGCCGCCCAGAGAGGGGAGGGTCCTTGGAGAAGCTAGCCGAACCCCCGGGGAGAGAGTAGGCTGGTTGGTAGGCGAAAGCCACGCCCCCCTTGGGGTGGTGGCTGAGCGTCGGGGAGAGCAAAGCCCCGAGATGCAGGGTCTGGGAGGATGCACAGGTCTGAGGGGAGATGGGTGGTCGCTTTCTCCACCTCTCCACACCCTCACACAGGGTATAAATGGCTGGGCGAGGCAGCTCGTAACGAATCTCAGAGTATTAGTCAGCGGGCTGGTCGTGTAGTTTGCTACGTGACCCTGAAACCACGTTGACAATCGCGGGCACTCTGCAGAGCCACGTGACTCACATACTCGATCTGTCTAGTGTTCCATACTATTTTGATTTGGGAGTCATCATTAGATTGAATTTCTTTAGAGACCAGACACCCTTTTTTAATTTTTTACACCCGAGTTTGCATTTCCCCCAGTGCCTAGCATCGAGAAATGTTTGATAAATTAATTAGAAAGCCCTTTGTGGCTTGGGAAACCATGGTTTGCTAATAGTGGGGCTAGTGTTTAATAGAGGTGGGAAGAAATCTACGTAATAGAAAGAAAAACAGTTGAACAACAGCTCTTTTAGTTACAGTTTCATTTACCAGTTGTGACGGTTATTACGGGCAAAGGTATCTGCATAAAGATTTTTCACACTGACCTATGCAATCAAAGAGCTCATAGTCTGGTGGGGAAAATAAGACATACAAAGTGCTAATATGAGGCAGAAGATAAGTGTCCTAAGAGAGTTATAAAGTGCTGTGGGATTTGGGGGAGGGAGAAGAGAGAGTTTCTGACTTAAGGGAAAAAAGAGAAGTGAGAAGGAACCTAATACTTTTTGAGGGTCTCTACCATGTGCCAGGCACTCTGGTGGGTACAGGGAAATAGATAAATGAAATAGACTTTGTTTTCAAGTTGGCTCACAGACTCATTTGAGAAAAGACAAAGCAAACAATAAGCTGTATAGTGTTACACACAGGCCCTTTTATGGCAGCTAAAGGAGGAGCGCTTAACTAAGCCCGAGCTTATGAGATTTGGGGCATAGATGGGAAAGAAACCTGTGGTATAGTGGGGTGGCCAAGAGCATAAGTGCACTGGGGTCGGACAGACCTGTGTTTGAATCACATTTCTCCTGTTTACTATCTACAGATGACCTCCTGTGGGTTATTTGTTTTGGCCTTCCCCTCCTGTAAAAGCGTAATGGTACCTACCTCATCACTGCATTTGATTATTAGACAAGACAATGCATGCACAGTGTGTTGCACGGTGACTGGAATATACTATGTGTTTAATAAAGGCTAGTTAGTTTGTTTTCTAGAGGAAATAATCCTTCAGCTCAATTCTCAAGGATAAGAGAAGTTAGTCAAGCAAAGAGGGAAGTGAAGGATTTTCTAGCTGGAGAGAATAATGTGTTTAAAAGCACTAAGGCGTGAAACTGCCTGACATGTTTGGGCCACAGGTGGATGTAAAGTTTAGGATGGACTACAA